CAAAATTTGCCTGATGATAGGCCGGAACGCTGCACTCTAGTCAACAACTTATTCTGGACTTGCGCTTTTAGGGCATGAATTTTTGACCTTAGCCTCAAGATATGCTGATTTTTTGAATAATTTACTTCAGAGTTGAGACTTGCGCTTGCCAGTGCATTGCTTCATGCTGTATTTGTTTTGATTCTATGTAGTAGAGTTGATCATTCATAGTTCCATTCTAAAGATCTATCGAAGCTAATAAAATGTGTAGGAGTCTATCTCAAAAAATCCTCAAGTAGCCATTATGTCGGGTTTTGGTTGTTGCAGTAAATACTTTGAAAAGTGAGAAAATATAATATAGATATAGTAGCACATTCTGCGAATTGCCGTAGCCCATCATAAATTTTCTAAATTGAGCTCTTTTCTCTCATTAATTGCGTAATTTTTAGGGAAAACGCTAAGGCGTAGGAATCATGCTCTTATACATAGCTAAACTACATGAAAACACCCACTTTCTTTCTTCATTCAACTTTCTATGCTCATTTTCCCATTTATGAGTATTTTCTTATAAGCTTCACTTTATCCACTTTATGATAGAAGGATGTGCATACAGTAATAAAAAACATTTGTGTAGCACTTTTTCTATAAAACTTTAGAATCCGGGGAAAAGACTGTCTAGGAATGAAATCGTTTAAGAACTCAGCGACTTACAAGACTAGACACCTCAAGCTATTATGCTCTCGATAGTTTGGCGAAAACGTTTATAGACCGAAAAATCAACCCAGTTTCAGTGAATGCCTCTTTTCCTTAACGTCAAACATAAGGAAGTTTTGGAGCCGCTATTTGAGATTATGTGCAGCCTTCTCATATTGTGGTAATTTCTCAGGCAATTCATGGGAACTTCCCGACTGTAGAAGATCTTTTCAAGCAGATCCTTGGGAAGCTCAGCGCTTTGCTCTTGACGTCAAGGTTTTTTGAAAGTTCCCATGTTTACGGCTCCACTCACCTCTGTGCTGAATGAATCCCTTGGGATGCTTGCTGAAATCGGTTGTCCTCGGAAAGTTCCCTGTATTGTCTGAGTTCTTATGAAGCAGTCCTTCCACCTGTGACGTCCATTCCAATAAGCATATTTTGCTCTTCTCGGATCATTTTCGCAAGGAATAAATTTTTTCAAATTTAGCTCTCCATTCAAAGAGTTAGTAGGCGCTCTCCACATTTGCTACCTTCACTTCTAAAATAAACGCCACAAAAACTTATGTCAACCGGGGACGTCATCGATGAAAATGATTTGTGCACAAACGAGAAGCGATCAGAAAGGTGCTCCGTTTTATGAGGCATGCAACGTTTGTGAGCGTTGCAAGATTCTTATTCATGTGAGATAGGGACGATCGCACGGCCTAGAATTTTTTTGGTAGGAAAGTGTCGAGCTGGCATGGGAATCGTACCATAAGGAAAGCTTTTCCGCGTTTTGGTGACCGGGAATGCGAACCTGAGGCATGAAAACTCTTGTGAAATCATAAGCGTCCAATTAGAGGTTGGAAGGAAAATAATTCCTTAATTATATGGCTCTCTTGAGTGGATACTGCTGGGGAGACCGCGAGCATTGCTCGAGCAACATCATATGATTCATTTGTAGCAAGAATTTTGGCTCTAAATGCGGAGGACCAATCAGCGTCTTCGAGGGTGGGAGAACGCACGGTATGGACAAAAATTCAAACTGGATTTTCTCAGTCACGCCCGGATCACATGAACGGCCTCTTGTGCAAGAGGTCAAGGCGTATCAATCAGGTCTAACATAAAATAACTGCCATAAACTCTGTAAATAAATATTAAAAGCTGGCTGCACAATTTTTCGATTATGCGGCACCAGTAGATGTACTTATTGTTAGATGATTGAAATCTGATGGGAAGTCAGAAGTGGCAAAGTAGATCATGTCTCTTACTCATATACTCACCGAAGTTTTTTTGGGGATGATGTTAGACAAAGAACCGTTTACCCACAGCCCTTAATCATTTTGCCTTATATCTGAGACGGAAATTATTACATTCTCGCACAGTCGCGAAAATTTGCCAATTCGCTTCGTCCGAGAATAAGTCTCGAAATTTTTGGAAGTAGCCTAGGTAAGTTATAAAGATGCGCAAATGGGCTTCTACTTGTAAAAAAACAAAAAACAAAAATCAAAAATAGTTATCCAAAGGTATTTTTACTTGTAAACAACTTTCCCAAAATTCACGTTAGCTTGCAAAAAGCGGGTGCATGGCTGCACTCTTTTATAAAAATTTCGATGTCAGAGAAAGCCAAATTTAGGAATTCCCCAAATTTTTTTTCGAATAGTGACGCAGTAACCCCGCCCCTGGAATGCTGTTACAATGAAATGATGGGAAACAACCAGTAGTCAATTTCTTCAGTCCAACAAAGAGTTTCTTCAAGAATTGATTGAACAAACTCAGGACCTGTTGGGAATTTTCAAAAGGAAAACTCCCGGCAACATTTCCCATGCACTAATTATACAACTTTTTCTCATGTGCAGCACACGGCAGTCAATTGCTGTGCTCCTCCGGTGTAACGCAATATTTTCCCGCAAACTTCTTGTTGTTGAAGAAAAATTTCCCAAGACCGAACATATGAGTGCAGTGCCTTGCTGTGCTTACATGCGCTCTTCGCAGTGATTCCGTGGATTTGATTAGCCACCGCCCAAGTGGTGGACGAGTTGCTCGTCTCTGCTTTCGTGAGAGTAGTAGCTTCGTATTTGCATTTTCACTTGTCTTTCCTTTTGATCCACTCATTGCTCATGCATAAAATGGATCACACGCCAAGAATGGTACGCCTAAGCCCTATGCATCTTGCGAAAAACAAAACTTTGCCGCAAACATCACATACATAGCAGCTGAGTGAATGAAGTTTTTGGCCGCGACATCTCGCATTTCACATCAAAATCGTCTTTCATCTGGGATTTTCTGATTTCCGGGCATTTCCTGTGGGAAATATCTATGATAAGTCTGTAATCTTTGCTTTAGTGGTCGTTTGAAGTAGTCCATTGAGAATAAATGCAACATATTCGTCTATCTGGATAAATGGCAAAAGCCTTTTTCTGTCTTGCTGAAAATAATCCTTTATGGAAACGCCTAGAATTGTTATAGCGCAGTTCGTTCTTCAGTGGCAGCAATTTATCTGTCTTTCTGCTCCTACTGATGAAGATGGGATTTATTCTGTTCGTCTTATTCGGCTGAAAAGCTCAAAATCGTATTTCGAAAGAAGCTCTTAAACCCTGCATAAAAACATTTCGAACTGGCATAATTGAACACACTTGTTATACTCCTATAATATTTTTATCAAATTACTCTCTAAACAATTTATGACAAATAATATAACTTCGATTGGTGATTTGTTGCAAGTAAGACCCTTCTCCCTAATATTTGCAACACTTTGTCATGCTATGTACGCTGTTATGACTTGATACAAATGCTTTTTGTTTTCCTAATAATAAAGAAAGTGTAGCAAAGGCATCTTCATTTTGTTAATACACTGACAACTGGTACTTACATCTGGGTCGCATATTGAGGAGCAAAATCTAATCAGATTTCGTATGTTAAAGGGTGAAATATTCTTTGGTTTTCGGTAACTTCGAGCTACAGCAGTACCTCGCAATGTAAAATTTGAAAACTACTCTTGGAGTAAAGTTCATGTACTTAAAAGTTGGTACAAGAGTTCATATCCCTGCATGTCAGGAAGCTTTTGGGCAGTCAATCAGTGCTTTTACAAGTTGCTGCGAAGATCTATTAGGGTGATCCAAAAGTAATGGGGCACCTAGAGAATAAATGCAGGTTTCTCAAGTAGAAAAGCTAATTGGAAGTCCAAGTTCTGGCAGATGTTAGTACATAACAAAACCTTCTGATCGAGGTCTATAGTTGGGTACTGTCACGTGGCGTTATTTTTATAAGCGCTCAAAATTAAAGCTCATTACTTCAAGTAAATCTGAACTTTGAGCAGCAGCGCCGCAGTAGAACAAGTGAGCCTATCAAAGATATCTGCGCAGCAATGGGTGAGGGGACTGTCACCCAATTCACGATAGCTCGGTGGTCCCAAGGCTTTAGAACAGAAGATATAGCATTGGGTATCAGGAGACATTTTACTTATTCTTTCATCAAGATACTCAAATATCAACCTTAACAGTTGCTTTCTGATAGTGCTTTTTACGCTCTATCCATACATATGCAAATTACTTTGGCTTTTCTCATTTTCAAAAAATTATGGGCTAAAACATGAATTTTAGTCTGAAAATCTGCGCCAAACACCGCAGTTTTTTGAATAAAGTTCCTTTTTTTGATGAAATGAAATGGGCAATTATTGGTTTTTCAAGTATTTATTAAAAAGAGCTTGGAAAGCTTTTTCGAATGGTGTGCCATATGTCGAAGGACTTTCAGGTGCAGCAACACATTCGGATGGCGTTAAAAAAAGTCTGTCTGACTTCTTTGAAGCGCCGCTCGAAGGAATGTCTGCAAGGTGCTTTTAAGATAACCTGCGAAGGTCACTTTATAGAGAAGCGTTCAAATTGCTGGTTGTTCATAGCTAATCAGAAAGAGATCTCGAAGAATATTCAAAAAATCAAGGTGCCCCATTTTTGGATCACCCTAATATTTCAAGGGTTGCAAACAAAAGCCATCATATCTTCGAAAAATCTATTTTCGCTTTACAATTTTCCCTGAATACTTGTATGGTAAATCAGGCCAATATCCAGCTATCCCCTTTGGCTGCTACTCTTTTTTCAGAAGATTATCAGATGTCACCGTTGAGAAAGTTGCGCAAAATTCGTTGTTCTGTAGGGATCTGAGCAGAAGTTTTGAAAAGGATGTCTTTAGCATTACTATATTGAGTTCATATTCTTGCATATCAGAAAGCTTTGGTTGCGAGAAAAGATATTTTTTTCGATAACATTGATGCAAGATCAGTCAGATTATTTTTGATATGATGGTGCGCGATTTCGTTATTTTTACGAATAATATATATTTTTGCCTTTTAGGTGAACTCGGCTCAGTCGACACCTCGCACATCGACAGCAGTTCCACACCTTGAGCACAAGTTCTCCGAATCAGCGCTGAACGTCAGTCCTTGTCCGACGAAGCGGCTCAGCTCGGATTGTCCCGAGCTTAAGTGGGTTTCACTTCCTTGAACAAATATAGAACATCCTCAAGTCAACAAAACCGCTCGAGCTATAAAATTTATCTTTTTCGACTAAAGGTTACGAGTGCTATGTGTAAAATGCGTGCCACAGCAACTCGCAAAGGGCTTCTGCCATCGCTAAGCAACGATGCTACGACCTGAGATGTATACCAGCTGAAACGCATCCAAAATTTTCGAGTTATTCGACTAAAAGCCATCTTGCGTGACTCGTCTCTCCCCTAACACTAGACTCGTCGAAATTCTCGAGATGATGTGCGATCACCTACTTCACGTCATTCTTCAATTCCTCGTCCATTTTGCACATTTTCGGCTGCAAATTTTCCTTCACCCAGAAATTGACATCATCAGTGCATATTGCTCTATTTGTCTTCCATTTCGACACTAAGTGTACATAATTGATTGCCTTCAAGGGTATAAATTGGTCTCCGGAGGCAATTAATAATTTATGGTAGCCAACACCAACATCAACCATTCAACAATTCTTTTTTTGGAGGACGAATCGGCTTTCTCCAAGAAGGAAGCATACATAGCTGTGTACTGACTCTTGAACTTAGCAAACTTTTCCTACTTCTCAGGTATCTATGCAGGCGGCACAGGTGCCTTATAAGCAAGGCTGGATATGTTTTTGGGACAAAAAGCAAAGGGATATCGTTTTTGTGGCTGAAAGAACACATTTTAGGTTAGATTTTTTGATTCGACGTTTCGGTTTTTTTCGAGGGTTTTCTACGCTTATAAAGTTAAGTCAAAGGGGACTTCGTAAAATTTTGGGATAGTCAAGGGGGCTCCGCTAAAAACCACCTAGTACCGTGCCCTGCTTCGAGATGAGTGCGAATTGTAACATCCTTTAGTACTGTTTTCATGCCCACGACAGAATGTAAATTCTTAGCAAGTTGAGAACAAATTTATGGCATTGGCGCATAATTTCTACTTGGTCTACTAGTTACTATACAATACAATATTCTCTGGAAGCTTCCAAAATAATTCTCAGGTTTTCTCAAACTCTACGCAGTGCACGTAGAAAGAAGATCCTTCGATATTAAAATGATTGATACTTCCCTCAGTTCTCGTTTTTGAGAAGTGGAGGGATCAGATTACCACAATAGAAGAACCCAGTAACGAGGAGAGAAAAGTGAAAATTTAAGGGTGTTTAAATAATTGTCGTAAACCTGCTGACTATCTACATATGTCTTTGCACCATCTATCATACTAATAAATACCCTGCCGTCTTTAAGCATGAAGCAAATGTGAGGTTCTCAGGAAGCTTCTAGAGTTTCTTATTATTAGAATTAAGTGTAAAAGAAGCCGACCGTCAAAACAAGGGAAAAGATGATTTGGACTCCGTAAGAGCTTCTTCCAAATCTCTTTTCTCTCTATTACTGCTTAGGCTCTTTTTTCAATCGTGCTAGGCCCACTAAAATGTCATAAATGCTTATTTATTCTGCTTAGCAGGAAGCAAATTTCAGAGTCATTAAGAATATGAAAGAAAGCAAACACCTAGGAACTGTTTTTTGGGCAACGTGTCATTTTTGTTTGTAACTGAATAGTGTTATTTACAGTGGTATCATCCAGAGGATGCATCAGCATTCAATTGTAATTTTCTTCTTTTCATCAAATGCTCACAGTTGGGTGTTTTTTTTAGAAACATATTTTGCTAAATATCAAATACTGAAGTGACGCACATTCACAGTTTTTAGACTCCATATCGTTTTTCCCAATTTCTAAGACAAATCTGTCTATGAAATATGATAGCTATGTAAGCAATTATTAGCGTTACGAAAAATTCAAATGCTATGCATTTCGTCATACAGCTGCTAGAACAAAATTTAGAGAATGAACTAGCGGCTTCAGACTCCCTGTTAATGTGCTGAGACCACGGAAGTAGTGACGTCACACTCGACAAGCACCTGTAGAAGTTCTAGGCATTCTGAAGGTAAATGCGGAAGAAGAATGGAGGAAGAGTATGCTGATTCTGAATAAATCTTTACAGCTGGACAGCATCCCTCATCTCACCCAGGTTAATGTGTTAATGCCCGCGCAGGGTAGAGAGTTTGACAGAAAAAAATCTGCTTACATCTCCGCTTCCCTCAGTGGATATATCCTTTGCTCTATCGTGGCTAGTATCTTCCTTACAGGGAAAGGCACCTAACTTAGGTCGGCCTTTTAAGAAGCAATACGTATAGTTGCTTCAGCTTGAAACGCTGATTTCAGTTCTGCTTTCCATAGCTGCGAAGCATTGCTCGAGTTATGTGTTTTTTCTGAGCAAAGTTTGACTATCAACCGACTTAGGCGTACTGCGGTATCATCATCTTAGTAGTGGTTCAATGCAGCTTATAATTGGAGTGAAACATGAAAACCAGCTGAATTTGACCGCTGCTATTGGATACCCTATCAAAGCCGTATGACTCAATTTGATGTTATTTCGATTTTCCACCACTTTTTGGATTTTCGTCTGAAGGCCTTCTTTCCATATTCGGTTATATGTCAAGGACACATACTAAAAAGCTCATAACTTGCTTCAGAGCATTGCTTTACAGCTAAGGACAGCTTGAAGTCAGCGTCTCAAGCTGATTTCGGATGTATGCGTCGATTTTCGAAAGGCCGACCTAAGTTAGGTGCCTTCCTTTGTTTAGGACATCTTGGTCGCGACTTGTGCAGGAGCCTTCAATTACGTTTTTTGTGTTCATATCCGGCGAAACCTTCTCGTACATCTCCCGGTATGGAGACTATGTTGACTGAAGCCTCCCACTTTTGATTTATAATCGAATGAAATTTGAAGACCAGCTAAATTTGGTCACTGCATGTTGGATGTAAAGAAGAATGCTTAACAATCAGGGAAGGTGAATCACTGCTCGCTTCCACTTCTGCTCTCTTTGTGCAAAAGTTTCCGAAAAAAATTGTTATTTTAGAAAGCTGTGTTTGCCAGAAATCCAGAGGTACATTCAGACATCGTTGAACTTTCTTTAAAAAAAAGTCATGGCCCCGCGTTTTTTATATGACAAAAGTAGTGCAAAAACGTAAATGAAAGTACATTAAAAACTTTAAGGGTCTGATTAGCTAGAGCTATGTACGTTTTATCCCTTAGGGTATTCTGAGAAAGGTTACAATATCTCGGCGGGCTCGTAATAAGTAAAGAAAGAAAGTAGAAAGAAAGTATAACACTATAGATAGATATGTCGCGATGGAAACGTCATCGTAACCAATTTTTTTTCGTAAAGAGCTCGACTTTAGTCATTTGAAACGTTGCCCCATTGAAGCATCACAAACAAAAATGAGACATTCATATTGGTCAAGTACTTTGTCATGCCAAAAAAAGGTGAAAAGATAAAACTTCGAAATAAAGTCCCTCACGACTCTATTCACCTTCTACTGTGATTCATGTAAGAATTTTCTGGAAACTATGCTCTAAGCAGAAAAACTGCAGCATTTTGAGTGGAAGCACCTTCACCGTTGCTCTCACCACTTACATCCCTAATCCTTGAAAACGTCTTAAGTGGAAATGGAATCTGCATTCCTAGCACACATTGATTTTTTTCTTCGAGATAGCATTAACGCTGAGAATGAAAGGATATGTGCACTAACCGCGTCATATTACTGCAGAAGCAATGTATTGGTGATGCGAGAGAGAAATATTTGCCCTTAAACAAGAAAATAATCCCCTCAGGTGCTTTCCTTACGCACTCTTACTACTTAATCTGTGAATAAATTAATCTTCTGCATGTTTTTTTGATATTTTTCACAAACTTAACAGCCGTTGTTTCGTTTCGAAGCAGCGAAGCAGCTCAGACGCGTTGTCATCTCCTTTTTCTTGGACAAACGTCAACACTCGCAAGTTCCTTTTGAAAATTAGCCAAACTACATCGACAGACGTCATTTTAGTCCATATGACAAAACAGATGACATTTCTTAAACTACGTTTTCTGACAACGGTCGTGTCCCAAAAAAGACCTTCTTGATATTTACTTCATGGACAGTTCCGTCCCTTATTACAATTTTCGTACATTTGCCGTTTTGTTACGATATCTTTGAGCAATAAGACTGAGTAGCAAGTATATTAAGATTGTTTGAATTTTCACCCCCTTTTTAGAATCTCGCCAAACTGTGATAAGTTCGCCCCTTATAGGATTTGTACTCTTATTTTCTTAATCTATGGCTGCTCAGTATCCAGACTTATTTATTTACTTGGCTAATTTTGGTAGAAAGAAGAAATCTTAAACTTTGTGACAATTATTGGCGATTTTCTGCCAAACGCTAGTTGCAGAAATAATGTTGGAAGAAGAAGACCATCCAAGGCTTGATCATTTTGAGTTAATTTCATAAAATTCCAGGGCTGTTGTTACCTAAGTTTTGAAACTTGCTCTTCCATCCACATGAAGCTTTGTTCATCAAATGTTCCTAGAAAGTTTATAATTCTTGGAGAAATGCTGAAACGTGCTGATCTGCAAAAAATCATAACAAAGCAGAGAATTATCTTGAATATTCATATTTTTTCGGGCAAATTTTAAAACAACAATTTTTTATCAGCGCCAGGAAACTGAGGAGCCTATATAGCCCTTATTGACAAATTCACAATGACAATTGATAACTGCGAAAACTGGCTATATTTACTTGATATGGGATCTTTTGTGGTGCAATCAATGATATACGCTTCAATCACAAGTAGAGCTCATGATCATCTCGCTCAGGATTCACCAGGTCTTGAAATCAGTTTGCGCACTAGAGAGGATTATGAATATTTAGAAATAAGATGCAAAATTTTGTTAGCTTAAAAAATTAAAATTTAGCTTAAAAGTACAGAAGAAATGATAGTAGTCAAAAACTTGAGCCGGAACAACTAGTTCAGTAGCTTTTGGATTTTGTTTCTTCAACTCTTCGCTAAACGACTTGGTGTGCTCTAGGTTTTCATCAAAACACTCAATTCCTTTCTTTCGAGTCTAATCAAGCATAAATGTACTCCCTAGAGGAGCTTTCTA